TGCGTCTCCCCATGCTTCTCTCCTCTTAGGACTCTTCTCCTCAGGTCTCTCCATGCTTCTCTCCCCTCAAGACCCTTCTCTGCACTGAGAACCCTCCCCCCCCCTGCTTTCCTCCCCTCCGGACCCGCCCCCCCCCCCCCTTCCCTCCCCTCCCCCCCCTTCTCTCTCCTCGGGACCCTCCCCGCCATGCTTCCCTCCCCTCAGGACCCTTCCCTCTCCTCAGAACCATCCCCTCCCCCATGCTTCCTTTCCCTCAGGACCTTCTCTCCCCTCAGGTCTGTCCCACACCATGCTTCCCTCCCCTCAGGACCCTTCCTTTTCCTCAGGAACCCCCCATGCTTCCCTCCCCTTAGATACTTTTCTCCCATCAGAACTTATTCCCCCCATGCTTCCCTCCCCTCAGGACCCTTCTCTCCTCTCAGAACCCATCCCCCCATGCTTCCCTCTCCTCAGGACCCTTCTCTCTCCTCAGAACCCATCTCCCCATCCTTCCCTCCCCTCAGGACCCTTCTCTCCTCCCAGAACCTGTCCCCGCCATGCTTCCCTCCCCCCCGGGCCCCCCTCCCCCGGCCCCCCCCCCCCCCCCCCCCCCGCCCCCCCCCCCCCCCCCTCCACCCTCTCCCGCCCTTCTCCCCCCTCAGGACCCCCCCCCCCATGCTTCCCTTCCCTCAAGACCCTTCTCTCCCCAGAACCCACCCCCATCCCCCAACAAGGACCCACCCGACACCCTCTGCCCTCACCTCAGTGGGCAGGCTGCCCTGGTGCCGGCGGAAAGTCAGCAGGCTGTCCATCTTCTCATACAGATTCCAGCTGCTCAGGTCATGTGCACTGGCCAGAAATGCACACAAGGATTTAGGGCTCATCCCCACCAGGAGCTCCGACGTCCCCCAGGTGAGCCGCGAACACCGGTCAGTAGGTCCCGGAGCTGAGGGATCACCTCCCAGCAGACTGAGGGGCCACAAACCCCAGATGGCCCAGCTGGGCTCCCTCCAGTATGATGTCCAGCACCTGCCTGGTGAGGCCGTCCCCACTCTTGGGGACGCAGTTCAGGGCCTCGGATGGGCAGGATGGGCTCCCAGGTGGCCCAGAGCCACCAGGCACACCCACAGGACACCTGCACAAAGGTCTGAGTCCTCCCTACCTCACCTGGGACACGGGGGCATTTGTCAGAGTAAGGCAGCAGGCACATGGCTTGGGGGTCGTTCCCAAGGGGATGAACCCAAGGGGTTGTTCCCCCAAGGGAACGGGCGTGTTGCCCCCCTCACCTGTAGAAGGCAGCCAGTCTCCGCAGCGTGGAGCAGATCCGCCCCATCTCACCGTGTCCAAGGAACAGGCCCTGCTTCTACACAGTGGGGAGAGAGCAGAGGGGGTGGTGACGGGACACACACGTTCCAGGGGGGACTCCCCTGGGACACCGGACCGGCTTCGAGCCAGGCCCGTGTTCCTGCCTGCTCTGTCCCCAACTTTCCGGAAGGCAGCTCTTTAAGATCTCCAAAGGGAGACCATGCCCTGGGCCATTCTGTGTCCAGCTCTGCAGGACACGAAGGGGACCAGAGGACACCCTCAAAGACACGTAGGCTGAAGAACAAAGACTGTCGGGATCGGAGACCTCCCGTCTCCATGCACTTGCCTCACATCCCTGCCAAGACCCTGCCACAGGGAATACGTTTCTCCCTTTACAGCTGACAGAGCAGACGGAGAAGCGCGTTGCTGGCCTGCGGCACCCCACCATCGCGGCAGGCCCAGGTTCTAGAGCAACCCGGAGTCCTGCCTGTGCCAACAGGCAAGGCGTCACAAGCCAAGTGCCTCAGTCAGGGCCGGATGCCCGGCCCACAGGCCACGCGGCCCTCAGCCCGTCTGTGTCCACAAAGTTTTACTGGAACGTGGCCCAGTGACGCGCTGTGTCCGGTGCTGCTGGACCCCCACCCAAGCACCCGCCTGGCCAAATGCGTTTATGACACGGCTCTTTACAGAAACCATCTGCCCCCCACACGCAGACAGGGGAGCGCCTCCGGCAGGCTGGGCTTCCGGGGCTTCCGGGGCTCCCGCGGAGAACAGTGGAAGCCTTGGTCACCCGCCCGCACATGGTCCCCTCCCGTCACAGGGGCCGCGAGAGCCGCTGGGGCTCCGACAGAGAACCCCACCCCCGCGTCCACGCCCGCCACAGACCCCCGGCCTGCACCTCGTGTTGGATGAACACGTCCAGCAGCGGGGTGAGCGCGCCCACCAGCATGTCCACCAGACGGCTGCAGGCGGGCGCGGCCTGGCAGTGCGCAGAGCCCCCCTCGTCGCAGTACGTGCCGTAGGCGCGGGCGCAGGCCTCCAGCACCGCCACGTCCGAGTGCCGCTGTACCAGGCAGTCCAGCTCCAGCAGCGCCGCGTCCAGGTACTGCACGGGGGGCGGGGGGACAAAGGGCCGGTCGGGGGGCGCCGTGCGGGGTGGTGAGAAAAGCTCAGGGGTTGTGACATAGAGCAGGAAAGGTCAGGAGATCGGCAGGAGGTCAGGTGGGTCAGGCTTGAGAGAAAATGTCAGGAGCATGAGGAAGAACGGTCAGAGGTCACAGCGGGAACCGCCAGGAGTCACAGGGTTGAGAGCAGATAAAGGGTCAGGGAAAAGCTGATCAGGGGTTAGGTGAGGGGGCAGGGGATCGTACGGTTCAGGGGAAAGGTCAGGAGTGCAGTGAAAGGTCACGGGGTTTGGGAGAAGGTCAGGGACAAGGAGCAGCTGCAGTGCAGGGAGGGGGCATGGCGCCCTGAGAATAAGGTCAGAGGACCTGCAAGCATCGGGGGTGGTCTGGACCCCGTCACAAGAGTGGGTGATGGCCCAGCCCTGCAGTGCGGACAGGAAGAGGACGGCAGCCCGACACCTGAAACTCCAGGGAGATGGCACGTGGCCCTATGCTGGGACCCAGACAAGGGGTGGGGCAGGGACCCTGAGAAGGAGGGCTGGGGCCCCCACACGCAGAGTTCAGGGAGCAGGAGCAGAGTCCTGCGACGTACCGAGCCCAGGCCATCCATGTCATACACGTCCAGGTTGCAATACTGTGGGATCTGCAGGAGGGGGGTCACTTTCTCTTTGTCCGCTGCAAACTGCCCAGAGAGAGGCGTGAAGCGGAGCCCCCCAGCCTCCCCTCGCTTCTGCAGCCTCCTGGCCTGCCCTGGCGCTCCCCCAGCCTCCCTGGGCTCTCCGCCTCGGGCCCTTCCCCGCTTGGCACCTTGGAGAGCAGCCGGGGCAGTGCCTTGGCAAAGTGTCGGCTCATGTTGGCATGCTCACGCCAGCGGCGGGTCCCGTCCACCTCCCTGGCGGCCTGCAGGCAGAGCATGCGTGGCCTGAGCCCACGATGGACCCACGTGAGTCCCACGGCGGCTCTGGGACCTGCTCCCACACGGCTAGGTCACACCCAGGCAGAGCTCCCCCCAAATGAAGGATAAAACTCGGGACGACTACTCGGGTTTTTGATTCCAAGGAAGAGCTTCCCATGCAGGGACGCCACCAAGAGCTCAGCTGTCTCCCCCAAGGTCACAGCTTAGGGTGGGACCCTTATCTAGTAGTACTGGTGTCGTAAAACGGAGATTCACACACAGAGCTGGACACGTGCACACAGCAGAACGTGACACCCATGGGAGGACAGAGGCGGAAGTGGGAGGGACTCAACCATAGCCCAGGGTCACCTGGAGCCTCAGCACTTGGAAAAGTCAGGAAGAACCCTCCCCTGGAGCCTCAGGAGGGAACACAGCCCTTCTCGCCTGGATCTCAGACGTCCTGCCCCGCTGGGATTTCAGCATCCCTGTCCCGCCTGGATCTCAGCATCCCTGCCCTGCCTGGATCTCAGCATCCCTGTCCCGCCTGGATCTCAGCATCCTTGCCCTACCTGGATCTCAGCATCCCTGTCCTGCCTGGATCTCAGCTTCCCTGCCCTGCCTGGATCTCAGCATCCCTGTCCCGCCTGGATCTCAGCATCCCTGCCCGGCCTGGATCTCAGCATCCCTGCCCGGCCTGGATCTCTGCATCCCTGTCCCGCCTGGATCTCAGCATCCCTGTCCCGCCTGGATCTCAGCTTCCCTGCCCTGCCTGGAACTCAGCATCCCTGCCTGGCCTGGATCTCTGCATCCCTGTCCCGCCTGGATCTCAGCATCCTTGCCCTGCCTGGATCTCAGCATCCCTGCCCGGCCTGGATCTCAGCATCCCTGTCCCGCCTGGATCTCTGCATCCCTGTCCCACCTGGATCTCAGCATCCCTGTCCCACCTGGATCTCTGCATCCCTGCCCTGCCTGGACCTCAGACTCTGGTCTCCAGAGCTAGGGCACCATGCTTAACTCCTGTGGTTTTTGAGTCCCCTGGGGTGTGATCTTTCGTCCCCGCAGCAGCAGAGGCTCACACGGAGGCAAATCAGAGGCTGGCCGACAAACAGCTACCTCCAAAGTGAACACGGCATAAGGAAGGCTGTGGTGTGTCCTCCCCGGGGAGGCAGACGGCAGACACAGGACCCAGCGGGCACAGGGCTCGGGAGCCAGCAGGAGGGGTGGGAGCAGCTGCGAGGCGTGGCCAGCGACACCTACCTGGGTGCCAGGAGTCCCGCCCGCACGGCCGGGGGCCAAGCGAGCAGCCACGGCGACAAGCACGGGGCGGAAGCAGCAGCAAGTGGCTCTCAGGGCCACGGGGCAGGGGCACCGCGAGGCGGAGGCGGGAGCGGGCGCCACAGGGCCCTGGCATGACAGCCACAGCAGAGCGCTCAGCACAGGGGACGCAGAGCGTCAAGGCAGGGGCGGGGGTGGCACTGACTTTCTTGCCCAGGCGCCGGCCGGCAGGTGGACGCCCCTCTGCGGCTTGTCTCACGGCGGCCACGAGGATCTCGATGAGCACTCTTTCCTGCTGGCCGGTCAGGGCTGCGGGGAGACAGCGCTAGCTCAGCACACGCCGACCTCCCCAGACACAGAGCGTTCTGCAGGGATGTGCCACTCGGACGGGCCGCGGTGAGCCCAGCGTGGGCTCAGAGCACGTGGGGAGCGGGGCCAGGCTCCTAGGCACCGCAGAGCCCCAGCAGAGCTCACAGACTCCGTGACACGCACTTGACACCACCCAGGGCCCGCCCTTTGCTCAAACTGCTCGCAGAGCAGACCACGGTTGGCCCGTTCACCTCCACGTGGGGCTCAGTGCCCTCCTCCCTGGGGCTCCCCCGCCACTGTCCAATATCCCGGGACTCGGGCCTAAAACCATCCAGTCCAGGGGACAGTCTGTTCATCGGGTGTTCCGTGGTAACTTTAACTTCTCATCACACCCACCCAGACTCTCAGAATGCGATGGAACTTATCGGGAAAAAGGGTGGCCCTAGATTCAAGGACAGGTGTCCTTGTGAGAGAAAGAGCAGGAGACACACACAGAGGAGAATCCCCATGAGGATGGAGGCAGAGATGGGAGGGAGGCGGCCACCAGCCCAGGGATGCCTGGAGCCCCAGAAGCTGGAAGAGGCAGGAAGGACCCTCTCCTGGCGCCTCAGGAGGGAGCACAGCCCTGTCCCACCTGGATCTCAGTGGCCCTGTCCCGCCCCGCCTGGATCTCAGCATCCCTGCCCCGCCTGGATCTCATCTCCAGAGCTGGGCGAGGATGGATTCTGGTTTAAGCCACCAGATTTGACGTAATTTGTCACAACTACTCTGGAACTTCACATGTGGGTCCTCCTGTCCTGTGTCCCACATCCTAGACGTGGTGCCCCTATGAGCCCAGGGACAGCCAAGGCTCATACATAGAGGCAAGGAGAACAGAGACCACACAGCTGGGCCCCAGACATTTGGGTCAGAGTAGAGGAAGCATCCTCACGATAAAGAAAGATGCCCCTTCAGTGACCCCAGGGAGCATGGTTCAGGCTGCTGGTCCCGCCAAGGAACGCGATGGGCCTCGACGCCTGAGATGTGGCACTGGGACTCCTGCTGTTACTAGAGGACACTGCAGCAGACGGCAAAGGAACCAGTGGGCGCAGGGATCGTGTGTGTAGCACGGGGTCGCGGAAAGGGGATCTCAGAGTGGCGGGGCCTTGGGTACGGCTGTGGAGGACAGTGTCAGCATAGGGGCGGTCTCCTTGCGGGTGCTGTCGGAGGGGCAGGGTCTCAGAGGGATGGGGGAAGGGGGTCTCCGAGGGATGGGGGAAGGGGGTCCCAGCTGCCGGGGGCTCGTTCACCAGACACTCTGTCCACACTGCACCCTGACTCTGGGGCCAGGCTTGGAGCTTCAGTGGCTCTTACAGGAGAGCAGCCCATGGCCCTCGTCCTACAGACCCCCGACCAGGGACCTGTGAACCACATGCTCTAGACCCAAGGCCCTCTCACCCCAGGAAAGCAGGGCACATGCCCCTCCCCCCCAGCCAAGCGCTCAAGGAGCACGCACATCACAGGAGGCGTTGACAGGGATGCCTGCACCACGTGCTACTGGCCGGCGTCACAGACAGCACGGGAGGACACCCGGCGGGATGGCGGGGATGACGGGACAGGGACAGGGCGACACAAGGTGGGGGAGAGGAGGAATTGGGACAGGGATGGGGGACACAAGGGGACAGGGAGACACGGGGACGGTAGGACATGGAGGACGGGGGCAGTCGGACAAGGACAGGGGGAGATGGAGATGGTAGGACATGGGGGATGGGGACAATGGGATAGTGGCAGGGCGCAGGGACAGTGGGACATGGGGACGGTAGAATGGAGGATGGGGACAGTGGAAGAAGGACAGTGGCAGATGGCGATGGTGGGACATGGGGGATGGGGACAATGGGACCTAGGGGCGGGGCATGAGGACAGTAGGACACGGGGGGACAGCAGGACACAGAGATTGTGGGATATGTGGAATGGGGACAGTGGGACATGTATAGGGACAGTGGGACACCGAGACAGTGGGACACGGAGGGCAGGGACAATGGTACGTGGGAGACAGGGACAGTGGTACATGGGGGATACGGACAGTGGTACATGGGAGATAGGGACAGTGGGACACGGGGGATATGGACAGTGGGACACGCAACGGCGGGATATGGGGGCAGTATATGAGTATGGGGACAGTGGAACACGGGACAGCAGCCACAGGGACAGTGGTACATGGGGATGGGGACAGTAGGACATGCCTATGGCAGGACATGGGGGGTGGGGGACAGCAGGACATGGGGGGACAGTGAGACACGGTGGGGGAGACAGCGAGACACGGGGTGGGGGTGGTGGGCCTGGCAGGCACAGCAGGGAGGCCGGCAGGATCACGGCCCTGGGCCACGACTCAGAGCAGGCTTCTGGCCACGCTCACCTTGGCGCCCGCCACGTGGCTCCAGCAGCAGGGCCGTCATGCACTCCCAGTTCCGGACCAGGGCGGGCGCTGCCTCCCACAGGCCGTCCACCAGGTACGGGACGTGTCTGTGGAACTGATAGGGACGTGCCCGACACGTGAGGTCGTGAGGACGTGAAAGGAAGACGTGATGACACGGAGCAGGGAGGTCACGTGATGAACACACGGGTAAGGAGCACACAGTGATGACGGCCACTCAGGGTCGGGAGGCTATGGTGATGGTTAATGCCATGGGGCAGGGAGGATACGGGGCGGAGGACACCGGAGGACAAGGGGAGGGAGGACACAGTGATGATGACAACACACGGCAAGGAGGACACGTGATGCCCACAAGGGGCAGGGAGGACACACAGTGACGGCACCGTGGGACGGGAGGACACCTGTTGACACAGGGCAGGGCAGGCACACAATGACAACACGCGGCAAGGAGGTCAAATAATGACACAGGCAGGAACGGCTCCCTTCCCAACCCTCCCACGTGTGGTCCCACGAAGACACATGCGGACACCACCCCAGGGACGTGACTCCCACGTGCCCACAGCCAGTGTCGTCCACACGGGAGCCAAGCCCCTTCCAGCCCAGCACAGGAAGCGGGCATGCGACATAGGACACGGCACGGAACACGGGGCGCAGGCACGGGACACGAGTCTGGGCCCCGCACGTGGCTCGGACATCCTGCCCCCGGAACGCACGTGGCCAGCCCCTCACCTCGCCCTGCAGATAGAAGTCGATGAGCGCCTTCATGTTCTGGAGGTTTCTATCAAACTCGTCAGGGGGCTCTTGAGCAAAGAAACCTTCGTGGGGCGGAGGGGCCAGGAGCCTAGGGAGATCAGAGACAGTGACCCCAGTGCTGGCGTGGAAGGGGGACCCCATGCGCCTGGCTGGGCCCCAGGTCCTGCGGGGCCGGGCCAACCTGCACTCCGGCGCACTCCTCTGCACACACCGTCCACACAACGACCCGGGGAGCAGGAAGAGCAGGGAGCCATAGGGACAGGACGCAGATCACGGAGGAAAGTTCTAGAACTGACTTCTGTCTGTCTGAGCTGACTGTCTGCTCGGGCCAGCACTGGGGAGGGAACCAACAACCAGACGGCCCCCCGTCACTGCACCTCAAACCCCAGAGGACCAGAGGCGGGGACCTTTACCTGAACGCAGACCCGCCAGTGAGGGCAAGACGGCCAGATGGCCCAAGAGGGCCCTCCGGGATATGGAGCATGCTTCGGGGGGCCTCAGGGGCTTCAGAGGACCCGAGGAGGCTTCAGACCCTCAGGGGACCTTCAGGGGACCTCAGGGGCAGGGGGCCACCACCACCTCCTCAAACCAACCCACGTGTGCTCCTGCCTCTAACACGGATGAAGCTGGCTGCTCCCACACATGTACCAGACTCTGGGTCAGCGTGTCCTTCTGTCTCACGCTCGAGTGCACCCCGTTGTGTCCCTCGGGGCCCAACACCCGCCGTCCTGTATAAGCCCCGGTACCAGGCCCTGCTGTTCTCTGCGGTCCGGGGGCCTCCTCCTACCACCCCCATCTGCAGATCTGCAGCTGGTGGGACGCGGGACACGGGACGGGGACCCCACCTCCAACATCACAGTGACATGACGGCTATGGAGACACCATCAGGGGCCCCAGGGTGGCCAGGCACCGGCCTTACCTCTTACAGATGAGTTCGCCCGCGGCGGTCGCCATGGGTCTGTAGGCCGCGTACACAAACTGGAACAGGAAGACGTACTCCATGGTGGAGAACACGCCCACGTAGTGCCTGCGGGGAGACGCTCGTGAGCCCAGACCCTGCACAGGGCTTTGCCACACACGCTGGGCACACGAGGCGCTGCCACACACGGCTTTGCCACACGTGTTGTGCACACGCAGCTTGATTTACCACACGGGTTTGTGCACACGGGGCTCTGCCACACGGACCTGTGTCCGCGGGGCTCTGCCACATGACTTCTGCCCCTGGGGCTCTGCCACACGCCTGTGCACATGGGACTTTGCCACACACGCCTGTCCCCGAGAGCAAACTGAGGTTCTTTGTTGGGCCAATGGCACCAACCTCAGCTTCCGCTACAGGTGGTCCCTCTGGAACCCCAATCAGTCTGAGCTCACCTGGGGCAGCTCATGTCCCCAGATGTGAGCTGAGGCCACATGAGACTGCCACGTGAGCAGGATCCCCAGAGAGTCCCGCCTCCTACGGGGCCTCTAGGGTTAGGGTTGGTTCCTTCCCCTCCAGCCACCCATGAGCCCCAAATTAGGGGGAAATCTGTGTCCTCTCCTACGTTGGCACGTGGGCCACCTGTCAGCCCAACTCTCCGCCCTCCGAGCAGGTGTGCACGCAGAGGTATATACGGAAAGGCAGGAGACGTCCACGGGCACCCATGGGGGGAGTGGCTGGGGGATGTCGGTGGGGGACACCACCAGCGTGACCCTGTGTCCAAACACAACCTCTCAACCCACACCTGACCACAGCACAGCGGACTGACTGCCAACGTGGCTACGTGGGCATTCCCAGAACCGGCAGAAATGGGGCAGGCCGCCTACGTGCTTCACTGTCTGGGTTTTGAATGGAGGAGGAAGACCCCCGAGGACACGGGGAGCCTCAAACGAGGGGCTGGGACAGCTGCCCTCACCCTTGGATAGGGTACACAAGGAGCACATACGCTGGGTCCACATCAGCCCCATCCAAACCTCAAGCCCCGAAGCCACACGGTTCTGCCCCAAAGGAGGCACACAGGCTCCTCCCACAGCCGAGCCCAGTCATCGGGTGCCCGCCCACGGACTCAGGCCAAGCTGTGGCCCCAACACCTGGCACTTTGCTCCACCAGGCCCCCAAGGTGCTGGCAGAAGCGTAGTCAGCATGCCTGGGAGCAGGACGGCCAAGGGCGACAAAAGATGGGTATCCCGGCTGGGGTAAGGCCCAGCAAACACACACTTCCTCCCCTTTGTGGGATACGCGCCTTCGACCGGTTAGACACGGCCCACCTCACTGGGCAGGATACGCCGCTTCGCCCCCGTGCGGATCTCTGCAGGGAACTCCTCACAGGCTTTCTGGAATCAGGCGTACGGTGCCCCCTGCCCCCACCACGAGCAATCAGGTTGACACGATGCTGCGGCCACTGCCGCTTCCTTACAAACCGGGTGGCTGCGGAACAGCCGGCCCAGCGCAGACCCTCAGCGCCGGGAGGGAACCCCTCACACGTGGACCGCTTCAGCGAACGAGCCCGCTCTCCATGCTCCGGGGCCGCCTGCCACGGTCCAGCCTATCCGCTCGGCCGCCACGAGCCCCACCATGGGCTCCCATCCCCAGCTCAAAGACACACCTCCGGGGACGTCCCCCGCTCTGGGATCCTGAGCCAACGCCCCCAAGGAGCCTCCCTCCAGATGCACGAGTCCCTACGTCTCCCGTTGGGTCCGTCTCCCCGGAGGACCCCGACGGACACAGCAGCTGTGGGAAGACCAAGGGCAGGACGCGCAGCCACTCTGGGCCACCCAGGCTGCACAGAATAGGAGACAGAGGCCACCGCCCGGGGTACGCGCTGCTCTCCGTTCGGGTCCATCTTACGCTACGCCACCTTGCCGCCTGCCTGCCGCTCCTGGATGTGGCATCCGGCCAGGTGCCGGCAGAGCCGGGCACTCCTGGGACCACAGCGCAGCATGGAGGAAGCCCGGGGCCTGGCCTGCAGCTGTGACAGTGTCCCTCTGGGCTGCGGTGGGAGGCAGGGCTGCATGAGAGTCCTATGTCCACCTGGTCCCACTCTGTCCTCAGCACGGAGCAGAGACATGGCACCACAGGCAGGCCCCAGCCTTCAGGGCACAAGATGTCCCCACAGCACTCGCCCGGGCATCTACGCACGGGGGCCGAGCAGGAGGTCGTGTCCCCGTGCCCCCTGTTGCAGACATACCTGACATCAGCATCGGACACGTGACTCACTGAACAGAGGGGTGCATCGTAGAGTTGCGGGACGTCCAAGGGAACTAGAGCCCGTGGTCCCAGCCTAAGTGCTACCAGGACCCACGAGCTTCCAGAACATCCTGCAGGCCCGGCCACTGGTCGCTGCCTCCTAACACCAGCCCCTCGGCACCTCTGGAGCCCCTGAGCCAGGCCCAGGAGCAGACGGGCGAAGCCGGGACTCCCAGAGATAACTCCAACTGCCAAGGCCCAGGCCAGGCCCAGTCTGACCTTTCCAGTGACCCAGCGGGCCCTCCCCACGGACTGCGAGCAAGGACACTGGAGGCAGAGGTCTCTAACCGAGCCAGAGCACAACACACCCAACACAAGAGCAAAGGCATGGCATGGGGTTCCTTAGCCAAACAGCGCTCCGCCGGCATGACCCCACGGCCCCACCATCCGCGCCCTACACAGCCAGCAGGGGTGGAGGGTGCGGCATGGGCGTGATGACGTACAGCCAGCGGGGCGAGGGGACCCCCAGCTGACAGGGGCACAGAAGGGGCGCAGGGACCTCCAGCCGGCAGGGGCACAGAAGGGGCCAGAAGGGGCCAGAAGGGGCACAGGACCTCCAGCCGGCGGGCACGGGGACCTCCAGCCAGCGGGCGTGTGGGGGCACAGAAGGGGCACAGAAGGGGCACGGGGACCTCCAGCCGGCGGGCACGGGGACCTCCAGCTGGCAGGGGCACAGAAGGGGCACAGAAGGGGCACGGGACCTCCAGCCGGCGGGCACGGGGACCTCCAGCCGGCAGGGGCACAGAAGGGGCACAGAAGGGGCACGGGGACCTCCAGCCGGCAGGGGCACAAAAGGGGCACAGAAGGGGCACGGGGACCTCCAGCCAGCAGGGGCACAGAAGGGGCACAGACGGGGCACGGGACCTCCAGCCGGGGGGCGTGCGGCGCAGGCGCGCGACGTACTCGGATATGAGCCTCAGCAGCTGCATACACTCGGACGTGATTTCCGGCTGCCTGTCCTGCGTCATCGACAGGATCCGTTTCTGTGGAAAGACCCCGAGAGAACAGGCTTCGTGCCAGCGCCGTCGGTGTGACCCAGGGCACCACGACCCCCACCCACAGGGCGGACTGCCCCTTCAGAGGTACCGGACAGCCCGCATCAGCCGCCAGCACACGGCCCGGCACCGATCACCCAAGAGGCCGGGGCCGCGAGGCCCACGCAGAGGGTGCCCGCAGCGCCCTCTCCCGACCCCCCAGCAGGGCCGGCCCTGCAGCCCCCCGGAATCGGGGCTGGCTCGTTGGGTGGGGGCAGATGCTCTCTCCCTGCGGCAGCACGGAGGAGTGGGGGCTGGGTCGTGACCTTGTGCGGGCACGCAGCTGTACCTTTGGTGCCCTGAGACTCCAGCACCCCCCACCGGTGCTGACACCCAAGTGTGCTCTGACTTTCCCAGTGTCCCCAGCTGTCACCGCCTGTACAGACGGACCGTGACAGGGAATGCACAGCACAGGAGCTGAAGCCACGGGGCAGGGCACGTGGTTGTCCCCAGAGCCGGCAGACATGATACGGCCGGATGGGGGACCCCATCTCCAAACATGGCCACACATCACCCCACAGGGCTCACGGAACCAGGACCAGGAGCTTCTGCCACCAGACACAACCGTGCCCTGACGGGGCTCTGGACGTGCTGTCTCAGGTCAGCCCCTCGCACGGCATGGTGTTCCAAGCTGTGAGGCTGTGGGCAACGGCGGGCGGTATGGGACGGGCGGTATAGGACGGCCGCCCACAGCAGCCCTCACTCCCTCATGGGCAGGGCCTCCCTGCACCCAGAGGAAAGGCGCATCCTGAGGTCCCATGCAGTGGAGAGGACTGTGCTCCCGTCTTTCCCTGGCACCCACTCTTCCTCAGGCGTCACATCCCTCTTCTGGGGGCCTCCGCGTCCTGGAAATGCTCCAGGGCAGGGGACGCGTCTATAAATAGACGGGCACGCGTGGCCCTGTTTCGTCTGGCCTTGCTGGTTTCCGGTCAGACTCCTCTGGGGACCCTGACACGGTCAAGGAACACTTGGTTCTCCCCCACACCCACAGGGATGAGATGACGCACTGAGTGTCTCCCGCCACGCAGGCTGGCCCTCCACGTTCCCTGGCCACCTCCGAGGCCCCAGCCCTGCTCCCGTCCAGCCACGGGTCCCGGGGTGGGGTCCTTGGCCAACCGACAGCTGGCCACCCTGCACAACGGGCAGTGGGATCTCAGAACGGCATCCCGGGTGATGGCGGGGCCCCCAAACTCAGGAGCAAAGTGGGCCGCACCCTCACGTCATCCCACGAACCTGACTGCCGACCCGCAGTCCCGGAGCAGCTCTGAACCTCTGCGAGGGGACCGCGGACCCAGCAAGGACGTGCCCCCCGCCAGAATGGTGGGCGCAAGCCCTCCCACTCCTGCAGCAAGAGGTTAGGGGGCAGCACCCCAACTGGGCCACTCGGGGGCGTGCCCGTGCTCCAACCTCAGCCCTGCACGCAGAGCAGCCTGCCAGGGCCCACGTCACCCGGTGGGCCGTGAAGCGTGAGTGCTCGGCCCCGGGCTCGGCCCCGCAGAGAACCTTCAGCTCACCGTCGCAGGAGGCAGCCCCGAGCGCCGGGCTGAGATGCGGCTGGCCCTCCGGGCTAGCGAGCGGCTGCTGGACGTCCACACGTCCACCGAGATGCCCGGGGACAGGGACACTGGGCGGCGGCCGGCGGAGGCGACACGTCACTCACCTTGAACTTGTAGAAGAAAAGGCCCAGCTTCATGGCCGACTCCCTCTTCTCGTAGAGCGCCTTCAGCGCCAGGATGCACTTCATGCGCACGCTCGCGTCCTGCGGCAGAGAACGGGCGCCGGTCACCCCGCGAGGGCAGCCTCCCCACACGAGCTCGGACAGGAAGGCCCCTTCCACCACAGCGCAGACCGGCCCCCGCCGACAGCGTTCCAGGCGGGACACGGGGGTCTGCGGCCCCACCCGGTCCAGAACACGCTCGCTGGGGTCTGAACCGTGCGGCCCAAAGTCCCACTTGAAACCCTCACCCCGGGACGCCTGGGTGGCTCAGTTGGTTGAGCGGCTGCCTTCAGCTCAGGTCATGATCCCAGCGTCCTGGGAGCGAGTCCCACATCGGGCTCCTTGCTCGGCGGGGAGCCTGCTTCTCCCTCTGCCTCTGCCTGCCACTCTGTCTGCCCGTGCTCGCTCTCTCTCCCTCTCTGACAAATAAATAAAATCTTAAAAAAAAAAAAAGAAAGAAACCCTCACCCCAGGACCGCACGATGGGGCCGTACGTCGAGGTGTGGCCCTCAAAGAAGGGACTCGGCTGTAGAGCGAGGTCACAAGGGGGGGCCGATCCCACAGGACTGGGGTCCTCACGGGGAGAAGGTAGGAGGACACAGACACGCACAGAAGGACGACCCCATGAGGACACGGGGACAAGACAGGTCCACGTGCCAAGCAGAGAGCCCACGGGAGGAAGCTGCCTTGCTCCCGCCTAGATCTCACACCCCCAGCCTCAGCCCTGCCTGGGTATCTGACATCCAGCCTCAGCCCTGCCTGGGTCTCACACTCCCAGCCTCAGCCCGGATCTCACACTCCCAGCCTCAGCCCTGCCTGGATCTCACACTCCCAGCCTCAGCCCTGCCTGGATCTCTGACTCCCAGCCTCAGCCCTGCCTGGATCTCAGACTCCCAGCCTCAGGCCTGCCTGGATCTCACACTCCAGCCTCAGCCCTGCCTGGATCTCACACTCCCAGCCTCAGCCCTGCCTGGATCTCAGACTCCCAGCCTCAGCCCTGCCTGGATCTCAGACTCCCAGCCTCAGCCCTGCCTGGTTCTCACACTCCCAGCTCCCGGGACTGAGAGGAATGAACAAGTGCTATTTGTGCTGCCCCGTCTGGGATGTCTGTATGGCCACACGAGCTAATTCAGTGCCCACAGCTAAAACAGCTTTGAGCATCTGAATTGTTTTTCCCCCCAAGGCTCCAGGCCCAACATGGGGCTCAAACTCAGGACCCCAAGATCAACAGTCTCACCTTCCACTGACTGACCCGGCTGCGCACCCATCCAAGATTTTTTTTTTTTAAGCAGAGAAACATGCCATTTGTACCCACGCAGCTAGCAATGTTTTATCTTCTGACAGACGTCGCCCGGTGTGGATGCCGCTACTCTCCTTTGTGTGAGTGAAAACACAACGCACTCTCAGAAAAATGTACCTGAGGGCACCTGGCGGCTCAGTCAGTGAAGGGTCTGCCTCTAGCTCAGGTCATGGTCTCAGGGTTCTGGGTCGCCGGGCTCCCTGCTTGGCAGGGAGCCTGCTTCTCCCTCTGCCCTTCCCCACCCCCCCACTTATGTGTGCTCTCATGCTCTCTCTCTCAAATAAACCCTAAAAATGAAGAAGAGAAACGCGCACCAGGACCACTGACTCTCAAGTGGAGGTCAGGCACGTGATCGTTCTGTGCCCCACATTCTTCTGCATAAAACTAAGTGAGACCCTGAGGGACTGTTTTGGGAATAAAGAACCACGTGCAAAGCACGGAGCCCAAAGCAAGGCCACACAGTTGGCACGAGGTGGGCAGAGCTGCTCAGTGCTGACCCACGTGTAGGGGTGCCCTGGCCGGCTCCCTGTAGGGCAAGCCCACGTCCTCTGCACTCAAGGGTCCGTCCCTGCAGGGCACCTCCTGACAGCCACTCCCAGGGTCATGAATGGCCTCACCATGCCGTCCCGGAGGTCTCCGGCCATGCCTCGAGCAGAGCGGAGCAGGACACAGCAGGGCCGGGACAGAGGAGGGAGGTCCCAGCTCCAGGGAGGAACCGCGCAGCCACCACACGGCCTAGGCTGTGGAACAGCTGCCCTCAGTGGATCCCGGGAGGCCCCACATTAGCCACAACTAGTGCCCTGACTGGCCTCCTCCCTCCACACATTGGCTCCCTTAGCCGAGCACAAACAGCCTCCGAGGGCCCAGGAAAGTCACTACGCTTATCGTTTGTGCACGAAACCCATCGCGCTCCCCCCACAGAGGAAAAGCAGAGAAGTCGGCTCCAGGCGGCTGTCTGTGACCCCCCCCAAATCCCTATGTCAAGTCCCAATCCCCCCAGAGGATGGAGTGTGGAGGAGAAGCCTCTGTGGGGACCCCATGATGGGATCGGTGTCCTCGTCAAGGAGACCCCAGAGAGCCCCCTCGCCCCCTCCTCCACGGGAGGACCCGGCGAGGAGATGCCGTCTGTGAGCGGGCCAGGGGATTCTGTGCGGACCCCGAGTCTGCTGGCGCCTTGCCGGGGGACGTCTGACCCCAGCAGGGAGAGCAACGGACGTGAGCAGATCACGAGCCCCCCGGGGGGGTGTTCTGGCACCGGCGCCCGCGCACAGCGCTTGAAGCAGCACTTTGACGTTCCCATTCTCTCCCCTGCCTGCAAGAACCCCGTCTGTCTTCACCACCCAAGACCGGTCACCACGTGTGAGCAACCACACGTGACCATGAGCTCACGTGTGAGCAACCACGGCCTGCCAGGCCCACGGATCACCGAGAGCACGCCACGGCGAACCCACGGCGCGTCCTACCCTGGAATGAGCCCCCGGGGTTGCAAACATCCACATGCGACGCGGAAATTCAGCTAGAGTCTCGCCTGCGACAAGCACACGGGGCAGTGTGTGAGCCACGCAGAGATCCCTCTGCACACCTGCCCGCTCCCCGCCAACACACGCTTCCCCGCTCCCCCCATGCACACCTGTCCGCTGCCCCTGCCACACACCCACCTGCCCCCTCCACGCACACCTGCCCGCTCCCCCATGCACACTTCCCGGCTATCCCCATGCACACCTGCTCGCTCCCCCGCACACACACGTGCCCGCTCCCCCCCCGCCCACCCGTCCCCCTCCCCCCCACACACCTGCCCGCTCCCCCCATGCACACCTGTCCGCTGCCCCGACACACCCCTGCCAGCTTCCAGCCACGCACACCTGTCTGCTCCCCCCACACACCTGCCCTGCTCCCACCCACGTACACATGCCCGCTTCCACCCCAGCCTACCAGATACCTGCCTCCTTCCCCCCACCACACACATGCCCACTTATCCCCACGCACACCTGTACATTCCCCCCAACCTGCCCGCTGCCTACCCCCCAATCCCCACCCATCCCTGCACACCTGCCAGCTCCCCCCCAACACACATCTGCTGGCTTTCCACCACACACCCGCACCTTCTCCCCCAACCTCGTGCTACACGCACCCGCAGCCGCACACCACCGCACACCTGGACCTTCCCCCAACGTAGCAAGAGCCCCAGCCCGAGAGTCTGCAAGACGAGGATGACAAAACGGGCCCATCAGCTCCGAAATCACGACACACAGCCCCAGGCTCATCTCAAACACCACCCCCCCCCCCCCCCGGGCCCCGTCAGTTTCGGTTCTAACACGAAACGCACGTTTTCAGAGAACTGACTCTTCCTCGTCTACGTCTGCGACGGGGAAGAAACACCCGCCGGCACCGGCAGCCGTGGGCATCCCCCACGTTTGCGGGGCTGGGGCGTGAATGTGCGGGATGCGGAGCGACGGCTCGCACGCAGCCACCTGCTTACGATTCCCTGTGTCGCGCCCACTGGGCTGGGGACGCGTCTCCTGGTTTGGGAGCTGGCAGCAGACGGACAGGTGGACGGGGCGGGCCGACCACGGCTGCGGACATGGGACCGGCCTCTGCGCGCGGCAGGCCATGCCTGCTCCGTCACCCAAGCGAGGGACCCGGGTGCAAACTCTCCGCTGGAGGGTGGACACGAAGGCAGGGCCGTGTCCCCACTCCTCCAGGGGACAGGGGAGCCCCTACACCCCAAACCCTGCGTCAGCCCACAGTGCGACAGCTACAGTTCTGCCGCTGTGTGGAAAGCCTCCTTCGTAGAGCTGGACCCACACCAAACCGTGCAGGACGCGCGTGCTCGCTCCGGGAACGACCGGCAGCACACGCACCGGAGGACCTCCGCACAGCGCAGGGGGCAGGGCGGCGGGGCCCGCGCGCCGGGGTTCCTCGTGCACGCGCAGGGGCGGGGCGGCGGGGCCCGCGCGCCGGGGTTCCTCGTGCACGCGCAGGGGCGGGGCGGCGGGGCCCGCGC